CCACCGTCCTTGTTCGCGTTTCTCTCCGGCCGCCTCACCAGCCGATCAGCGCACACCCGCGCACATACGATGTGTATACACGCACACTTCTTGAGAAATACTTAGCCAGTGCACCTCGATCGGCTTTCTTGTCCTTGCCGCATATACGCCGGCTACTGTGGCTTTCCTAAATCCCCTCGACATCACCCCGATTGCGCAGAAGTGGAAACGCGGCGGGGAGTCACCCGGTCGAGGCAACCAACCACTCTTAAAATTGTTCATTCCACAACGTGGTAGTGAGCGATACAGAAAAAGAAGAAAAGAGACATCGATGCCGTTGGAGAAATAGAGGCGATAATGTTGAATGTAAATGTCGCGATGGGAGTTAAGCATTCAGTTTGAATCCAGTGAATGAGACTATTGAATGTTTCAGTTAGTTTTCTTGAAAAAATGATTTTCAAGAAGGAAGAATCTATGCTCCATTGATCAGAGAATCATTTTGTTTCGAAATTCTGCCGGAACAACAGAATCTCCACAAATTATTAAATATCTTTTTTTTTTTTTAGAGTTAATTAAATATTTCATTTGCAGACTGAAAGTTTCAAGTTTGAAAATATTTAAATATTTGAAATTATTGATATAAGAATTTTATTGTTTTTTAATGAATCATCAATAACATCCTTTAATTATTTCCATCTGTATAATTCTATCATGTCAATTATATGAATCATACTGAATAATTTTTTAATATTATCATATAACAAGTTAAGTATAAGTTATATATCTCTAACAGAAAACAAAATTCTTGACTAACAAATATCTTATTTTTTTCCAGGTTTGTCCTGCACAAAATTTAATTTCTTTATTAATCATAATTTTCATGAATACCGTTTTCACGTAAGAGAATTCTATGTATGCATTGATAATCTTGCCTTGAGGCGTCATCATCATCATCATCGGAGAGAATAAAGTAGAAGAAACGGAATTGACTTGTCATTTCTTGTGTAATAAATCACGAGCTCTAGGTATGTTAATTTTAATCGATAAGCATTTTCTTCTTGCTGGTTAATGTGAGTAATCGTTTTTTCCAGGATGCTCATTTTGGCGGGATCTCCTGGTAGCGGACCACTGTCGCTTCATTTTTATCACATTTTACAATCTGTCTGAGCTATATAAATATTTATAATCCATAATAGACGTAAATATATTACTTGCTTCCTAACGTATTAACAAGCATAATGCTTATTACTACTTGAACCGTATATTTCATAGCTATGTAGAAGCAAGTGAACAAAGCATGGTTTTTTTTGGTTTACTTTATGGTTTTTTAAATATTGTTTTTTTCTGTTTATTGTTGTGTTAAGTATGCATGATAGTACATTATAAATGATGGAATTGTGAAGATTTCTTTCATTCTTTCATTCATTATAGCTTTTGATCATTGAAGAAGGATTAAAAATATTCCATTATTATTATTATTATAGAATCCTGAATTTCTTGTAGATTTGCATCGTTTTTTTCAATGAAGAATTTAATCTAAAAAGATAGAAGACTTTAATAATCGGAGGATTTATAATATTAAATGTAAAAAAAAAAAAATATATAATTTTAATGAAATCATATAAATATTGAATAGAGATTTAATTATTTAAAAATTATAAACATAATGCTTTTTCAGATAAGAAACAATTAATTTTGATTTATCATTACTACTTATAATGTAATCAAGAATCTTATAAATTTACATCAATCTTAAAAATTTTAATTTTCATATTTTCATAGTTTTATAAGTTTTCTTTGATTTTTCTTTTTTTTTTTTTTGTTTATGTTTTTATGAAGAAGTATATTCTTATAATTATAATTTGTATCTTCTTATACATACAATTATTTTGTATCTTATAGTACAATTTAAATTATTTTTTTTATTAGGATTGCATTATATTTCCCATATTATAATACATATAATACATCTCATATAATACATTTTAAAATTGTAACTTTATAAAAATGTTTTTAATTCGGAAATTTAAATATATTTTTAAGCAGGTAATTAATATTAATTGTAAGAAAATTTTCTAATTATCTGATGTAAATCGTATAAATCACAAAGAGAATAATATAAACTCATATAGGATGGATATGAATAACATAATTATAATTTTGTTTATTATGAAGCAATGAAAATTTTTTTACATTTCATGTCAGATTAATCTTTTTCTTACAATATTAATATGAAATAAATTAAAAAATTTTAAACAAATTATATTTGAAGATTTATATATGATGATTTTTTTATTTTTGACAATATTATCGATACCAAAGATGGTACATACAATAGAAAACGAAACTAATTGTTGCCATATTTTTTCGACTTAGTAAAATCTTTTAAATATTCAGTTTATACGCTCCGTTTTACATTCACTACCCCGTATCACGCAAGACGAGCGCACACGTGCGTTCATTTCATATGCATACGAAAACAGTTACGCGTTACGTTTTAGATCGACAATGGGGTCGAAGAGCTTCTACTTGATCTTAGTTTCGATATATCGGAATATAAGTTTTTGTTTTCTTTGGAAGAAACTGAAACAACTTTTCTCCTCTTACTCATTTGATATCTTATAAAAATGATAATATCTTGATAAAAACTTTCGATCAGAAAAACTAGAATCTTCGAATCTTATCTCAGAAATATTTTTCCTTTTTGGATTAAATGATAACGTTAAAAGATTGTATAATCTTTGCAACGATTTCCTAATTATTTTATTGAATATATTTCTACAGAATACAAAGAAATCAAATTAAAATTCGCCGGTCAAAATCTATTCGTATGTCTCTTTTTCTAAGAACCAGTTCCGCAATCCATTCAACCCGTTCGAACACGTCCGTCACTCGTACTAAGCTTTAAATTGAATTATAATTCGTCACTGTTGTCGCGACGTTTCGTGTTTTCCGATAATTAACGCGCTCGGTTAGTTTGTTCTTACTTTCGTGGAATACAGTTCCTTGTAACGAAGCGTTCAGCGTTAACGAAGCATTAAAGCGAACCAGCTGCGTTTGGTTAACACAAGGAACAAACGGGCGGAATACAAAGCGTGTAATTACCAGGTGATCGTCCCTAATAACGGAATAACGTGTACAATTATTCGTCCTTACGCATTTCATCGAATTGCCAATTTCTCTATGAGAATGGGAGTCAATGGTCTGTACTTCGTTCGAGGAAATCGTAATTCTCGGCTCTCAGTTGTCGCGTCGTTCGTCTTTCGTCGTTTGTCGTTCTTTCCGTGATATTGGAGAGGCGCTGGCAGCTCGTATATCCCATCGTCCCGTGCAACGTCTATAATCTCCTCCATAGTATGGGGAATTTTTTTTTTCGCGCGCTTGTGATGACACCCACGTGGTTGCCTAGAGTCTGCTCTTCGCGCGATTCGCATAAAAGCCACCACCAATCTATATGGACGCAACCTTTCTCTTCTCGTGTGTGTTAATCAATCTGCTTCCTACGCTTTCAATTATGTAACACGGCATTACTCTATGCCCGAGGAAATTTAAAAAAAACAATCTTGAGGCTGGGGCGTGTGTCCGAACCTTCTAACTTCTAACCTCGGCTAGATTTCTATGATCCTCGTTTACGTTTAAATATGCAATTTGTTGGAAAATACCGCTCGGGTGTTCACAGTAATTCGACAGGAATTTCTTTGATCGATTAAAATTAATTTTCTTGGTATTGAAATGATGGATTGAGTCAGTCGTGGAAATTATGAAAATGACAATATGATATATTCAAGAATATGTGCTGATATCGCTATAATGATCAATAAACAAAATAAACGAAGATGAAGATTTGATTAGTGCAATGCATATATTTTTATATCATGTAATATCTTTGATTGCATAGATAATGTTTCGATTCAATTGTTTTACATAATGCAATATGTAAGTAATTACTTTCAATATTTGATGTAAAGCATCATATAAATTTTCAAATGAATTCTTATGAGATTGTATAAAATTTATATCTAAGAAGGAATAAACATAAAAATTTTAAAATTTTTTAAAATAATAAAACAAATTTTAAATAATTAGAATTGATATTGTTTTTTTTTATATGTAGAAAGCGATGCATTTTATTAAAAAATTCGTTGTACGAAAACAAAAAAATAATTATACTGAAAAATACACAACAATATTACTTTAATATAAAACAAGACTAATTTATTAACAAATTGTAATTATTTGAAATAATAACTGAAAAATGAGAAGTATAAAAATATACGTAATTATAAATTTAATGGATATTAAATAATAATTTTTATAATTTTCTATAATAGAAACCATCATGATGAATTATATTTTTACATATTTTCAATTTTATATTTCATTCGTTATAAAGAATATAAAATAATCATATAAGCTAATTCAAACTCTACATCGAATTCCAAAAATCGTAAGCATGTCTAAACTCGAAACCGCGGTTTCCTCGCGGTCGAGCGATGGCGCAGAGATGCCGCCTATGCACGGGCGTATCCATGTGGCCGTATTCGCGCGAGAGGGAGATTGAACGAAGCGAAACAGTCTATGAGAAATCCGTAACGAGAGCAAGAGAAAGGAATCGACAAAACCTGACCATAAAACCTAAGACGAAGAGATCGAAGAAAAGAAAGAGAAGAATGATGTAAGAAGAGGTTAAAAGATGGGACGGAGAGTACGGGGCATCCTCCGCAATCGGTACGTCCATGCACACGTATACCTGTGCAACGTTTGTATAGATCAGGTCGCGAATCCGCGGCGCGGTCGCGGTAG